AATGGCGACCTGACAGAAGATGCACGACAGTTAGAGACACCTGTATAGCTGTTATTAATCCGGAGTGGCTTTGAGATCATTATGTACATATTCACATAACTTATCTGATCTTAAATTTTTTACTCGTATTTCTCCATTTATAGCTTCATGTCTTCGTTCTTTTGTGTGGATAAGATGATGTAAAAATGCAAGAGCTTTGAAATAACATGGTATAATAATGTCATTTGAGATTCTCCTAGGAACTTTTAGTTTGTGTTTTGCAGATTATTAATTTTGTTATAGTCTAGCTGCAGATTACACGCATTCGGAAACTAAACTACATGGTTATCAATTATACTAATAATTCATGAATTTTGCAGATTGGTGCTTCATTTTTTGAAGTTTTTTCATTGCTCTGCTTGTGTTAGTTATTATTTCTTCGTGTGTTAAATCTTGAACATTTCATAGCATGGTGTTCTTAGGTTCTTAGCAGATACTATGTAAACATTATGATAACTTGAGACAATTGTAACTTTAAAAAAAAAAATAATAATAATAATAGAAGAAGGAAAAGGAAAGAGAAGAAGAAAAAAAGAAGCAAGATAACTCGATACAATACCTTACACAACAATACAGATATATACTTCTACTACAGCCAATTCATCCCTAGGAGTCCAATTAACATAGTGTTGAGGATACAAACACTGTCCTTAACCACAACACCACCTATTAGAAAGCCAAAATCACACAAGAGCACTGCCTTTCACAAACTCAGTGAAGGCCAAAGCCACGAGGCCGAGCATAGCTAACCTCCCATTCCAAAGCTCGGCATCTGATGTCATCAGATTCCCAGACTTAGACTCAGCTGTTACACCTCTAAACATCGGAATCAAGGATGCAAGTGACAGCAAGACGGTCGTGCCCAGGAACCACGAAACCCCACCATTCTGCACCTGCAAGAAGATATCTTGCCCGTTAGCCAGCTCAACCCCTATGGCCGCCACAAACCCAATCATCGCCAGCCGGCCGTTGATCCTTTCAGGGCCCGGCCCACTGAAGGCTAGCACATCTGAGAAGCTGGTGCTCACCTGTAATGTAAAAGAGAGAACAGAATAAGGATTATGATATGAGGATACATATAACCATGGCTACTACTGCTTATAATTTCGACTCATAAATTCAGAATAATTGAAAAAAAAATAAAAATAAAAATACCTTAGGCTTCAGTGGAGGGGTTGGCTTAGGGGGGGTTGCATCTGCTTGAGCTACCCCCTTCACCTCATCTTCCTGTTGGATCCAATGAATAGAAAAAATATATAAACAAAGGAATATTAAAACAGAACATGAAAAAAGATAGTAAAGGAATAACAAAGTTATACATACCTCGGCCATGCTTCTAACTACAAATTTGACATCTCTCTTCAATGGCAACACGAAGTTCGAATTTCCGAAAATCGGGCTCGGAGTAGCCCTTTTCGGCAACGGGCTCGCAACAGAAATTGTAGGCATTCCATAACAAGTTGCAGACATGATTTTGTGAAGAGTTTCTACTGAATATTTGGTGAGACAAGTGAGGTGGTGTGCAAAAGACCAAATGTGCAATAAAATTGGAGATTGCTCTGTTACATTATTTATTGCATGAAATGGTGGGTGCTTTATAAAGTGAGAAATTGCATGGTGTTTTAAAGGGGTGGATATTTATGTATCCACGTAAGTGGCTTATGGCCCGTTAAAAGAGATTTGCCACGTGGGCTTGAATCTGGTCACACATGATTCTAAACGATGACTTGGACTGGGCATTTACCACAAAGCTTATGGGATGTGGGCTCCATGGAGGGTGGAATTTTTGGGGGCATTTACCATAAAGCTTCGAGGCGTAGAGGTTTCTAGGTCTTGATGATTGTTTATCCTGTTTAATAGTGAGTTACCCGGTTGATGATTGTTTTGGTAGTGCAAAACCTCGACCCGGTTGAACATTATTTAATTCGTTCATTAACCGGTTTGCAAAATAGTGTCGATGGTCCTGATGTAGAAGATCCAATGCTAGGTCAGTAAAGAGTGATGAAGAAGATGATGAATTGTATGTATATCAAAGTGTGTAGAATGATCATACTACCACAAGAAAATGATGAAATTCTAATGGGAAAATTGTAACCAAAATATATTCTAATAGAATTACAATGACAATCCAGTGGATATTCCAATGCTTCGAATTTTTCAATGGATTCCAACAGAAATTCCAACAAAAATATTCCATTAGAAGGAGTTTTCCGATAGAATTCTTGTTAGATTTTGACGATTCCAATGCAATTGGGGGTAGAAATAAAATTTATAACGGAAATTGTATATTTCAACGGAAATTTCTACGGTAAAAAATCGTTGGAAGAATAGTCGTTGGAATCATCGAATTTCATCTAAAATTTCAGTGAAAAACTCATTTCAACGGAATATTTTCGTTGGAATTTCTATTGACTATGCCATTAGAATATCCATTACAATTTCCTTCAGAATATGTTATCGTGGATTTTCCGAATATAACATTTTTTTTTGGTAGTGTACATCACTCCTTTATGGAGTAGTGTTACCATGTTGCCCAAGACTGTCCGACTGGGCTGCACGAGTACCCATGCTACCAGATCGTACTATATGGGTACCCAACCTGCCCGATTCTGTTAGCACACGTGGTCCTATTCATTTGTCCTTAACTTAAATACAACCATTTCTCATCTATCATGTGGTGCGTTCACATTAATCTACCTCATTAGGTAGCCTAAGTGTGCTATTAGCTCAGTTTCCCTTGAACTAGCGCGCACTGACCTTCAAGGAGTAGTTTATCACTAGGTCATACATCGACCTATAAGCTCCAGGTTGAGTTTCCATTGGGCCGAGAGCCTTAGCTCGACCTGTTGTCGTGCAGCTTTGCTTATGAGGTCACCATTGACTTGGTGTTTCCATGACCTCTGACATCCTTGTTGTGTTTGATCGATCTATTGGTTCACTCGATCCAGTCAAACCGTTCTTAGGTCGTAGCGACCTAATTACACTGGTATGGTATCCCATGTCATGTGGTTTCCCCCAACTCTGGTCGAAGAAGTATGACTCGATTTAAGAGTAAAACCAGTGCCGGCTCCAGAGGGGAGGCACCATAGGCTCATGCCTAGGGCCTCCAATTATTAGAGGCCTCAATTTTTTTATTATTATTTTTTTTTAATGTTTAAGTATTTGTGTTTGGTTTTGTTTGTTTTTTAAATAAAGAGACTAATAGGTAAATATGAACTTGGGGTCCATTACACAAATGAAGTGACTAGTTAATGAAGAGGACAATAGCAAATATGTACTTTGTGTAGGAATTTGAAGCCCTAAAAATTTTGTTGTTTTTTTCTTATGATGTTCGGGGATAACAAGTTGTGTGAGAATAAATATTTTTTGCTAATATGATTTTTATTTCTCCTTCTTGTGATATTAGTGATTGCTTGAGTACAATTTATAATTTATTAAAGGTAATTTTTTCAATGTCTAGAAGAATAAGAAAAACTATTTTTTATTAAATTATTTATTTATTTAATAGTTTTGTTTAATTAAATTTTTTTCTTGTATAATGGATTTTTATATAT